CAGCCCGCCGCGCGAGGCCCACACCTCCACGCTGCCGCAGACTGACCCTACTCTCCATACCATCAGGTAAGAGCCCCCTACTGCCAAGGTAGCCGGGACCCCTGGACTCCTCCAGCCTCACTGTACCTCTCCAATGCTGCCCCTGTCGTTGCCAGACAAATGTCCACAACCCTGGGTCAGCATTCTCACACTCACATCCCAGCTTGCCACTGCTGTACACCAGGGGGGGCCACCATCTGGCGCCAACTCACGTGCAGGAGGATGGTTGCCTTCCCTGAGTGATGGAAGGGAACCTTGGCCAAGAATCGGATGGGGGTCCGATAGGGAAGCCCTGCATGCGCCACAGCAGGTAATCCTGGAGTAGGTCCCGACGCATAGCGGGGTAGGCTCAGCCCTAAGGCAAACAAACATGAGCCCTGAAAACAACAAAACGTTACGATGTCCCTGTGTAGCCGGCGGAAACACAAAAAAACTGACTTGGGATGGAAGGAGGAGTCTATTTATTTAATGTGGTTGATGTGTTTCCTGTTGCAGGTAGGCGGAGCCTATATCTCGATGGCTGTCCTGGAAGATGACTGGGGAAAATCACCTGAACCTAGCAGCCCGCTGGCTGTTAGACCACTACCTGCTGCCTCGCTCCCCCTCACCTTTAGCAGTCTAAGGTCCTGTGAGTCATCATGTCCTATACAGTGCACAGGGCGTGAGGGACATTCCATCGTTGGAGCAGAGGGGAGACAGGCTGCAGTGACTATCATCGTAACTAGCCAGCTCCAAGATTCAAGTGAGTATTTCTACTTTTAGGTCAATATTTGGCTATGGACAGGCTGAGTTGTGGGAAAGGTGTCACTTGCCATGACTTTGTGTGTATCTGAATGCAGAAAAGAACTATGTTTAGAGGCAATGGGAACAAGACACGCTAAAGCCAAATGACAAACTAAAGATCACTTCCACAAGCTTACTTCTTTCACCTCCTGATCATGATTTAGGATGACAGTTGAGCCTCCAAAATCTAGGTCTAATGTTTTAGCATATCCTGCCAAAGACTGATGTCTATGGCAAGGCATGTCTACTAAATAAAAAGTGCTTTGAAAGATACACAAAGCAAAAAAAAAACAAAACAAAAAAACACACTAATGCCTTTAACACATTTTATTATCACCAACATTTTACAGAATACAAAAAAGGTACTTTAATAAAAAAAAAAAAATACAATAATTATTGTGCGGCCTAAACATTAAAATAAGGGCTTTATTAAGCTGGGCCTGTGATAAAGACAGCTTATATAACCCTATTAAGATAATAAATGGCGTCTGTGTAATTAGATTAAGTATTTACTGATACGGACTAGTACCTGCACATGGTATGTTTGGCCACTACAGACATACAGTCTTTCATGCCAACTAGGGTGTGGTACATGCATCTGCTGCATTAAAGCTTTATCTACTCTAAAGGTGCCCATACACTGCTCGATTCTCGTACGAGAATCGGGCGAAATCCCGCGATCGTACGAGAATCGAGCAGTGTGAACTAAGACGTGCGACCGTTTCTACTGTACGGTCGCACGTCTTTTGTCGAGCCAACATGCTTGAAAACCAGCCGAGAATCGTACGATTCTCGGCGGGTTTCTAGCCTGCTAGCCCGATAGCTGCGGAAAGGGCCGGTGTGCGCACGCGCACACTGCCCGTTCTGCATTGCCGTCATCGGAAGCCCGCCCCTCAGCGGGGCGGGCTTCCGATGATCGCAAGTACGATCTGCCCGTCCAAGGTGGGCAGATTGTACGGGCTTTTAATGAGCATACGACCATCGCAAGACAAAAGTCTTGCGATGGTCGTAAGGTGTATGGGCAACTTAACACTAACTGCAAAATAGTGTACATAGGTAAAAGTCACCACGCAAATGTATTCACTGCCTGCACACAGGACTTTATTATTTGGCCTCTATTCATATGCTGCTTCTAAACAATCTGAGCAAGCAAGCTAATATTATGCAAAGTTTTATTTTGTTCATATTAGCAAAAGTGTGCTCGTTCCACACCTGGAAATGCTTAAAACGGGGGATGTATGTGCAGAAGAGGAGTGTGAAGGTTATGAAAGGGGTGGTACATGCAGGAATCCTAACAGTGGCCAGTATGTGCAGGAGAGGAGTACAGTGGGAATTATATCGGGCAGTTTGTGCAATAGAGAAGTACAGAGGTATGACAGCTGGCAGTATATATAGGCGAGGATTGTGGATTTTAAAAGGTGAAAAAAAAAAAAAGTGAACACTTTTCAGTGGCACCAATTACCGAGGTTTAAAGTGACACTAAATTCAGGAGCTCAATCTTAAAAATACATTCAGGTATCTGAACTATTACCAAATCTTATTTGTGTATCACTCAGCTGTATACTCAAATCCTCTCTGAATTGGTGCGGACACCACTGCTTTTGTTCCTCAAGGTCCCCGTGTGTTGTAACGCAGTCACCACTCCAAGCTCCATCCTGTGATGGACTATAATTTCAATACAAAAAAATAGGAGCTCAGAGATGATTTGAGGATCTACAGCAGAGTGATACACAAATAAGATACATTTTTGTTAATAGTTAAAAGGAGATACTTGAATGCATTTTTAAGATTTAAAGAGTTATTAAAGCCTCAGCTTTTTTGCATATATCTACTGCTAGCAAGCAGTAGATATATGCAAAAAGTTAAAAAAAAAAAAAAAAAAAGTTTTAAACTTACCTGCGTCTTCCCCTCGCTCTCCTGTCCGAAAATGTGAAACTGCTCGGGCAGCCACAAAGCATCTTGGGGCGAGAGCATGCACAGTTCACATTTTCAGCCGGGACGCGAGGAGAGACACAAGGTAAGTCTAATAACGCGTGCACCCGCATGCAGACACCGTGGGACAGGAAGTGCCAGAAAGGACAGGAGAGAAGATGATCGGATTAAAATACATAATTTAAGATAAGTGCTTCACTTAATGTTGGAGTGAGGGAAAACATTTTTTGCCTTTAATGTCACTAACTCCTGAGTTTAGTGTCACTTTAGGGCACTGCAGACTGGTCACTGACCGCACACTGCAAAAAAGAAAAAGGGGGACACTGCTGAAATGAGTTTCACTCAGAGTACTGAACCTCTAGAAGGTGTGTCGGAGCTCAGTGTGCAAGGTCTATGGGGAGGACGTGAACAGCGTTCCGTATGCAACTGGTGTCTGACTGCAGACTAAGAAGTCTCAGCACAGTGTGTGCTGGATAAAGATTACTGGTGAAAGAACAATGAGCAAGTGCTGGAGGTGGGATCTCACTGCAGAGGGACCAATGTCTGTGCTGAAGTGTGATGTCATTGGGGAAGGACCGAGCAAGAGGCCGATTTGCACAGTGGCAAAGTAAAAGTAGACGACATTAGATAATAAATAGGATTTGTCATAAAAACACAACCCTGAAGTACAGTGTTGAAAGAACTCTTCCCTCAAAAATATGAACAAAATACATCAAAGTTGAAGTATATGCCCAGCCGAACCTTTTATTTAGGGATACGCCGATACTGAGTATTTGGGTGACTACTCTTACTCGCCCAAATGCTCCGATCCCTAGTCCGATACCTAAACTTCCGGTATCAGGCAGCGAGTCCATACCCGCCCCCTGGCTTCCTGATTGGCCAGGTGAGAAGGGAGCATTGAGCCGGCTTTCTGGCCAATCAGGAAGCCGGGCGCCATCTAATGACTCGCCGCCTGGCTTCCTGATTGGTCGAGAAGCTAGCCAATCAGGAACCCAGGAGGCGGGTCCGTACCCATCCCCCAACTTCCTGATTGACCAGAAAGCCGGCTCCATGCTAAATCAGGAAGCCAGGTGGCGAGTCATTACACGCCGCTTGGTATCCTTAAAAGGAGAACTATGGGGTTAAGGCTTTTCCCCATAGTTCTCCTTAGAGTAATGGAAGGACACAAACTAGCATCCGCCCGTCACCCTAGGCTCAGTATACCGCAAGCTGTAGCTCGCGGTATACTGAGACGCCGCAGCTGAAGCGGATCCGACAATTGTGCCGGGATCCGCCCAGCTGCGTGACTGACAGCTGGCTCTGCCTATCTAGAGGCAGAGCCAGCTGTACCCGTCCGATCCACCAGTCAGCGCTGGCGGATCGGAGCGGGGAGGGGTGAATCCAGGCAGAGAGCCGTGACAGGATCGAGAGGTGAGCGAACGCCGGTATGTGTTCGCTCACCTCCCGATCTACTGAGCCGACCTGTGACAGTCTCATTGGTCACAGGTCGGCTAGAACTATGAGTGAAAAGCACTCACCTCATAGTTCTCCTTTAATGGGACTTCCGGTAACAGTATTCGGAAAAAAAAAAAATATCGGTACTCGTACTAGTGCATTCCTACTTTTATTTATTTCTTTTCAGTTCTGTTTGGAGGGCAAGGGGTAAACCTCCAGGCACTTCGTTTTGGTAAAACCTTGGTCACCAGGACAGAAAGTGAGGGGGAAAAAAAAGAAATCTCTCTAACAAAGCCCTGGATAGCAATATAATCCTGACAGGAGTTATACACTTTTCTCACTCTATCCAAAATTTACAAAAGTTTTGGCTGGACATACACTTAAAAACACAGGTTAGAAATCCATCGTATCACAAGCCCAACTCCAGCTGAATTATTTTTGGGGGTTTTCATAAAGTGGTAAAAGGTTTTAAACTCCGTCAGGCATTTACTATCATTTGTGTCCTGCTGCGGAGATTTGACCTAACTTCCAGTTCTAGTAACCACACAGGAATTCAGGAGATCATTCCAATGGGGACAAACATAGATATAAACAACCTGAAAGAGTTATAGACAACTGTGTGGTGGTTGGATGCTTACACAACCAAATACAATGCAGCATAAAAATCAAATCTGCAATCAATGGTTGGACCATCACACCAACAATAGAAAAAACAAACAAAAAACTATACATTGACAAAAAAAAACAAAAAAAAAAAAAAAAAGATAAAAAAAAACCAAACAAACACAGTCCCACATTAGTGCTTCTTGTACCTGAAGGATGAGTGTTCTCCGTGGACAGCTAGGCCCAGAGACGGGCAGGGTGACTGAATGTATGGAGACTGACTGGAACCCTGTGATCCTTTCCGAATAAGCTTGCCAGTGACTGGGTCATACTGTCGAACTTCAGGACATGGCTGGGACTTTGGGTGAATGGGGGTAGGATGATAGAGTGGAATCTGGAGTGTAGCATGAATGTCTGGGAAGCTAGTAGGGCTAAGTTCTCTGTTAAAAAATAAATAAAAAAAATTTTAGGACAAAAACACAGAAATATGCCTTTAAAACAGTAATAATTATTTCTAAGTCCTGAGAGTGGTTAATGAGTGGTCAGGGTTTGAAAAAAAAACCTGCAGATCATTGTGTGTCCCAGAGGCATCTGATCTTGGTCTACAGAGTGCTGAGTGCCATCACAAGCTCCTGCACCAAAATAATGCGTTTGCACCATATTTGTAGCAAAGTCACCAGTAGCGTTCAATAAATGCTGCTCTACTAAGAACACATTCTGAATTCTCAAATGTCAATTCTAGTGAATTGCATTTTACCAGCACACATGAGGCGCCTCTATGACATATTGTTATCTTTGGTTTTTTTCAAACATTGACCACTCATCTTACCATGCTGATGTCCCACAGTGGATCTTGGATAAGGGCCCTCCAGAACATCAAGAGTGACCACTCATTCCTCTTGTGTTGGAGTTTTTTCCTCTTACTAATCTTTTTGCATTCTCCTTTCTACATGTGGATGTTTCCAAGTCTCTGTCTTGACTATGATCACCACTCATATTCCATAGCTGAGAGGTTAAACCGCATACTGAGGTATAACACGTACTAATGATTCTATTAAAGAAGAAAAAAAATGCTTTACCGTTGCACTGCAAAGGTTAAGAGAAAATAAAGTAATACTCTCTGAAACTCACAGCTGGCTGGCTGTTAGAGTGCTCCATCCAGCCTGTCTCCTCTTCCACTCCCGCAATGAAATGACCCTCAGTGTCCTCACATCCAATTCACAGTGTACTGGCATGATGACTCAAGGAACCTTAGACTGTTGCAAAAGAGGGGGTAGAGAGGATGGAAGGACCGGTCTAGAAGCCAGGCCAGCCAGCTCCGAGGTTCAGGCGAGAATAACTGTTATTTTTGCACATAGATGAAAACGAGCACTTAACCCTTTCTCTGCGGGATAGCCCTACTGCAAGTTTAAAGTAATGTGTTTTTTCCCGGAGTTCTTCTTTCTCAGATTGTTTTGATTGAAATTTTACGGCCATGACACACCATAAGAAACCATGCACAAATACCGTGGTACAGCAGCTACACATGTTTTGTAGTATAAAACGTATACAAGTCACATACATAAGCAAAGGCATTGCTTACACTTACAGGTCCTCTAAATTCGGAACACATCACCATAAGATGGACATTTTACATATTGCTTTATCAATTCATTTGTGCTGCATTAGAGCAAATTAACACTTGAATATAGTAATAAATACATACCTCTGAGACTTTAAGTAATCCTCTTTTAAGGGAAAGAGTTGCTCCTCTACTTTTTCCCACCTCTCCAGGCAACTCCAAAGCCAGTCTGGGTTCACAACATAAAGATGTTTGCAGTTCTGAGCTTTGCTAACTTTTTCAGTACCTGGAATTAAAAACATAATGCTTACGCTGAAGAAAGGACTGTCCTTTCTTCACATTGCCTTCTACTCTAAACAATAGAAGCTGACCATACGGTCTTATGTATAATCCTGCTCCAAAGAAAGAACTAGAAAGGAAAGACGTTTTAAAATTATTTTTAGGTATGCTGTATCAATGGGAATACAAACAAATGTGACTGCAAAAGGTGGAAATACACTTTAGACCCTTGGTTTTCAACTGGTGGGTCGTGACCCAAAAGTGGGTCACGGCCCCGTGTTCAGTGGGTCGCCGCATGCCTTTCACTTTTCTAGGTAAGAGGCTCCCCTTAGCCTCACCCTAACACAGCACTGTCTGTTCTTACACTAAGCAGCCATTAAAAATATGCTGCCCAGCGCTGAGTGTCGACTTGAGGTGGGGTGGGCTGGGGGTTGGCCACGAGGGAGCTCCATCCATATATACGTGCATTGCTGCAGCTAACGATTATTTTCATAATCGATTAGTTAGCCGATTGAGTTCGATTAATCGACTAATCGGATAAAAAAAAAAAAAAAAAAGGGTTCAGTGATGGACTACTAGTTTCTATTGAGATTGTAGTCCAATCGTCAATTTTAAATCGACTTAATCGAATAATTGTTGCAGCTCTACTGGAGTGACGTCACATTCTGGCTCCCGACACCTCTACAGGACATACGAGGGAGCTATAAGCAAAGCAGGTATGGATAGAGCTCCATCTCGGCACAGCAGCCCACACCGCCGTGCGTTCCTTTGCAGTGCAACTTGGGTCACTACTTAATTAATGACAGAGGACAAATGTGGGTCCTGAGGCTACACAGGTTGAGAGCCACTGTTATAGACCATCTTTTAATCCCACAATTAAAAAGAATAAAATACAAATATAATTTGCTATACAAAAGCATGATCTACTGTGACAGCTGATATGGGAAGGCTGCGAGTACAGCGTTCCTGTTTCACTAAATCACACAGAGCAGAGTGGAGAACGGGTGTTCTCGGCTCTGCTCCCCATCCTGAACTAATTTGTCATGGTCCCGGGTTCCTCAGAAGGCACCATGGGGGGAAGGGAGGCAGGCAGCGGGCAAGCACGCGCACACACACTGGTCCTAAAATTGCTTATGATCAGCCAGCTTTTATATACAAATAATCACTTGTAGAGGCCTAAAAAGGGTGCCCCTCTGCTGCCACTTTATCCCAGGCTGAGCTATCCCTGGTGCTAGCCCCCACAACTAGTAGTGGCGGTTGGACTAGAGGGAGATCAACACTGTCTGGGAAATGTGAGTGTGCTAGGAAACTTTTTGCTGTTGTAGTGTATAAAGCCCTTCCATGTGCACCTTGCTTTAAAGCTGGTTATGAGTTGATGAGTGCGTTTTCCATTTGTTTTGCTCGAGGGATTAAAAGAACACCGGCGTCAAGTCTCCCATCAGCAGCTGGAAACAATAGCCAGCCTGCTATTGGAGATTTAAAAAATTGGAATAGCCTATAGCTGCTGACTATTGCATCCGCCCACTGCCAATCAGCAGAGGACCTGATGGAAAACTCTCTCCTTCAGTTCCCTCTGCTGATTGACAGCAGGCAGTGGGCGGGTGCAAAAGCCAGCCTGCTATTGCAATTTAAAATAACCAATAACAGGCTGGCTATTGCTCCCAGATGCTGCCTGCTGTGTTGACATTCAGCTGCCTCAGCAGCTGAATCCAGTGAAGTGGAAAGGTGACAATGGGGGTCTAAAAGATCCCTAATGTCACCTTAAAGAGAACCTCTCACCTCCAATGTGCGATCACATATAGGGCTTGTGGAGCATCTACATAGTTGGGTGCATCTACATAGAAAACCAACGATTGCGCTACACATGTCAGGTATCGCCACGTATTTTATAAGAAATTAAGGATTGTGTGTTTTTTATCCGATTAATCAAATAAAAAAATCGACCAATCGATTGTGAAAATAATGGTTAGCTGCAGCCCTACTTTTATTAGAACCCCTTTCCCGAGTCCACTGAAGGGCAAAAGGATTCTTAAAGGGAGCATGGGTTTGCTGGCACCTATAGAAGTAAGGAAAACTAGAAAAAAAAATTAAAACAAAAAAAAGCTGTAGAAGAGCCCTACTCATCTATAAGCACTTAGTCTTCAGAGATGGGGTCAGGCAGACGCAGCTGCCAATGCTCTAGACCAGGAAAGCATCATGCAGTGACATTCCCAGCCTAAGCTTGCTTGGCTCAGAAGCAGAAACCAGCACCCAAGGGCACTTCCTGCTGTCTCCTGCAGAGATTTGGCTTTATACAGTTGTCGCAACAAATCTCCATATGCAGAGACTGGGAGAGCAAGAGCACAGAGCGTGCTTGATAATGTCTGCTCTATTTTTATATAATAAAATGTAAAAAAAACCTTTTACAAATTGTAGACCTGATCACAAGCTTGTCTGCCTTTCTTTAGTGCATTTCATACAGACATTTATTCTTTAAAAAAGGTGTTTATCGGCATTATCCGGTGCACTCTGCATCACTTCTTTGCCACTTTCAGTTTGCACTAGATCTTCTCCCGATATTGGAAGTGCAGATTGCTAGCTATCCAGTGAGCATGGCACGGTTTAAGATTTCTAAGACTGCAATAGCTTGTGCTCCATGACTGACTAGGGCGACTTCCAAGATTAGCAAGATCAGGCCTGAATCTACCAGCAGCTTTTGACTGAATAAAAGCCCTCAAAGTCTTGAAAACAGCAGAGCTGAAAAAGATGTCCATCCTCCTAAGGACACCAAGCTAAACTGAGCACTAACGTTGTAGACCATAGTAGGCAACAGCATAACCCATGGCTCCAGATTGAGAACCCTGTGTCCCTCAATGGATTAGTAATGCAGATTAGTGCTCTTTGGCCATTATGAGTCCCACTGCACTTTTTAAGACATGGCAGTACAAGAAGGGGCCTCTAAGTGCCCGCATGTGATGTATGCACTCAGGTTTACTATATTTCTTTTAAAGCATCACTAAAATCTTAAAACAAAAAAGTTTCAGATTTGGTCTAGCATGTCATTTTAACATCTCTCACCATGTATCTTTAAATTTCTATGTCTATTTTGTCCCAATAAATACCTTTGAATAGATGACGAAAACCACATTTACATACATTTCCTGTGTGCCTGTGTCCACCTTTCATTCTGCCTTTTTAATATCTCCCATCAAAGTCACACATGCAGAAGCACTGGGCTCAGAAACAAGTACACTTTTGTTTTCACTACTCCCTCAAAACTCTACAATACCTCCCTAATGTACTGCCCACATCCCTTCTACAGACTGGGGCCCAGCTGCATGTGATGTGGCCCAAGCACCAAGGGGTTGTGGGAGATGATCGGGATTAAGATGACCCAGAAGCACAAAAAAAACATGCAGAAGCTACTCAGAAGAGTCAATGATATGCAGTGTTTTTAAAAAAGGAAGAAAATGTATAGGAGCATAAAAACAAAGCCTATTTATTTCACAATGCTTGTCCTGAATACCTAATGTGATGTTGATGCCTTTAAATCTCCTTTAATGAATTGTTCACTGGTTTTCTTATTAAACGAAATCTCATTTTCATAAAACCACATTTCTTAAAAGGAATGAGATAATGGAACAGAATTTTTAAAAATAAACCAGTAGGTTCTGCCGTGTGCAGTGATACCGCAGGAAGGCAGTTTTATTTTTTTGACACGGTAACCTAAAAAGGCAACCGCCATGAAGAAAGACGCCTTTCTAAAGTTCGGTAAAACAATAGTCTGCTTACCTGCCCTAGCTGCAATAAGGTGCGTCACCCGGTTTGGTTCATCCTCATTTAAAACCAGTTGTCTGCTGATCCTTGAGCCCAGAGCTCTGGCGTGATAGTATTCCCGTGTCCTCTCAATGGCAATGTTTGTGGGATGAAGGCCACTGAATGCAATCACTGTATTTTCTAAAATTTTGCTTTTCAGCTCTGGCACTATTTTACGGATGTCAGGCACCTCCTCCAACTCTTTCTTCAGGAATCGGTCATACTTTGCATAGTAATCTGTGTGTACCCTAACAAGAATTTCCTCAAGGTATATTAAATGATCATCTTCATCTAAGTCATCGCTATCGTCATCATACTCTTCCATACTCTGATCTAGCGACTCTCCTACTGTAATACCAGACTGCTCACTATTTTGGGACTCTGTTTCTATCTCTTTCTTGTCTGCACAACCATTACCCAAGTCACAAAGACCATCTTGAGCCACACTATGAGCTTCCATATCATCATCCTCTGTCAGGAGTTTCTCTTTTGCATCTGAGGTCAGTCTTTCAGCACTGTTATGGTTCTTAGTCCACTGCTTTTCAGGTAAATCCTCTTTGCAAGATTCCTGTAAAACAGCAGATTCCTGGTCTAAATGTTTTGACTTTCTCCAACTTCTTTTACATTCATTTTCACTCCCAGAAGAAGGGGACGGTGTTTTCCTAATTTCAGTATCACTGTCACTATCACTTGAAAGATCAAAGTCTAAGTCTTTTGCTGCCCCAGTCTTTAACATAGATTTAGTAACTATCGTCCTTTCACCCTGATCAATAGGTGGCTGAGCTTCTGGCAGCGGTGTGGAATCCTTGCTGCCAGTATGCGGACTAGATTCAGAGTCTTGTTCTTGTAGTCCATCGCTGGCATCAGACTCCTGTTTGAGAAGATTGCTGCATGGAGGATCACCATTGAGTTCCTTCGTGGCTTTCCCAAGTCCATTGCTCTGTTCCTCTACAGAAATGTCCTTGGACTGGCCAGGAGGCTGTGTAGGTGGTTCAGATGGCTGCACCTTACTAGATTTTGGACAGCTCACTATTCAAGAAAAATAAACTCTTATTACTCAGGAAGTACAAAGAAATGCGCTTATAGAAAACAATAAATTACAAAATGATAATGCTCTAAAATTAAGTCTGCATTTCTCAGCATCAATGTGAAAAGGTACCTATTTCAAGTACCATCTCTGCCTTAAATGAGAACTATGAGGTGAGTGCTTTTCACTCATCTCATAGTTCTAGCCAACCTGTGACAATGAGACTGTCACAGGTCGGCTCAGTAGATCGGGAGGTGAGCGAACACATACCGGCGTTCGCTCACCTCTCGATCCTGTCACGGTTCTCTGCCGTGCCAGGGGAGGGGCTGGATTCCCCCCTCTAGATAGGCAGAGCCAGCTGTCAGTCACGCAGCTTGGGCGGATCCCGGCACAATTGTCGGGATCCGCTTCAGCGTCTCAGTATATCTGCTGCTCGCAGTATACTGCGGCGTCTCAGTATACCGTGGGCTAAAGCACGCGGTATACTGAGCGTAGGGAGATGGGAGGACGTTAGTTTGTGTCCTCCCGTTACCCTAAGGAGAACTATGGGGAAAAGACTTAACTCCATAGTTCTCCTTCAAAGACACGGTCACCTTGCCCCCCACCTCTAGCCCTTTATTACCTTCCCTTGCTTCTGCTTCCTCTATCACAGACAGCACTGAAATCATTGGTGCCAGCAACCAAGGTGACATCATTTAATCAGTCATGTGACAGTGAATGGGTCTAGCGGTCAGCTGCTAGGACAAAGCATGGTCACAGATACGGAAGTCAGATGTTCCTCAAACCCAGAAACCTTGGATTGGGTCACTGACTCAATAGAGAACGGAGTGTCAGGGATGTGCTGGCAGGAAGAGAATAGGCTTATGCAAAGAGCCCCTTACTTTGCTCTGCATTGGCAAGATGATATACATTACCAATACCAATTAAAAAGTAGGTTGTTTTTAAAAAAAAAAAAAAAAAAAAAAGAAGAAGAAGAAGAAAAACAAACTGCTGAAATTATTCAGTAAATTATTACTATACCATGTGTCTATGTTCAACAAATATAGAAAATCACATCCACAGGACAGTTACATACTTTGTTATGGAGCTATTCAGCTATGTTGGTTTTAGAAACCGGTACCTGGTATAGAAAACTCCAGTGGGAAAATAAGTATAAATGCTCCTGTAAATAATTAAGGACATAGTATGTTTACTGTGTTCTCAATTATGAATTGACAGGAAGTGCTCTACATCACTTCCTGTTCATCCATGATTGTGGACATAGTAACTCATACTATAATATATCCACAGTTTATGAATGGACAGGAGCACTCAGTATAGAGGCTTCCTGTTCATCCATGTACACAATCTCTTTGTTTCAAAAGGGAAATATCAGGAGTCTGTTTAGACCCCTGATAATACTTCTTAACTGTAATTAAATTAGGTGCAAATTTCCACACATCTTCTCGATCATCTATAATGCAAACCATCGAGTCCCCACAAGGAAAAAGGTTCCTGAAAAAGGCAAACTATGACATTATAAACAAGCGTCTATAAAATAAATGCATTTATGTCTAATAATTACAGATGTGGACAAATCTAAAAAAATGGTGCCCTTACAGATTAATACAATGCTTCATTTCTCCTGATAAGTGATTAAAATAAAGAACTTCCGGCATGGAAAAAATTACCCTTGCAGTGGGGCTAGGGGTTGAGTGCTCATTTTGGTCTAAAATTAAGATAAACAACCCCCCCCCCGGCTGTGGAATGTCCCTAGACATCCTCACGTCCAATGCAAGTCAATGAATGTGATGACGTCACGGATCCTTTGACCGCCAGAGCCCAGCTAAGAAGAGGGTGCGGGGACCAGTCTAGCAGCCAGGCAGTACCAAGTATCGAGTGACTGTACCTTTATTTTAGACCCTAGACCAAAACAAGCACTTCATCCCTTGCAGATTTGTTGGCACTACTTAATTGGATCATAATGATATTTCTAAAATGTTTCTGTAATTAGTATCACACATACTTCAGTCTTCATACTACAGTCTTCAATATTGTAATTAGTCAGCCAGCCTATGTAAATGAGAGAAGTTGTCACCCTGTTTGGTATCATGTGCACCACTTTGAACATGGACTACAACTAGCAAAAGGAGAAAGATGTCTGAGGAGATCAGAAAGAAAATAATAGATTTACAAATTATAGGGTAAACGCTACTAGACCATTTCCAAGCAGCTTGATGTTCCTGGGATTAGTTTCAAATATTAAAAAGTTTAAAAAAAGGACCATGGCAATGTAGTCAATCTAGACATGACAAGAGGAAATATTTACTCCATATTAAAACAGAAGGCGAGAGAAAATGATAGACAAAAAGCTAAGGAGATACAAGCTGAACTGCAAGGTCAAGGTACAGTGGTGTATGATCAGATGAGCCATTGCATATGGAGTGAAGGTGAACTCAAAAGAAAGACCCGGAAGGACTGCAGTGTTGAAAGAAAGACATTAAAAAGCTTTCCTGTAATTTGCCAAAACACAGTGACATCCCACTATGCTTCTGGGAGAATGTCTTTTGCAAAGAGGAGACAAAAAAACTGTAGATTTTTTGCAAGTCACATCAACTCTATGTTCACAGATTAAAATATATATCTCTATCTATCTATAATTTTTTTTTTTCAAGTAAAACGTGATGGGGGCTTGGTTATGTTTTGGGTCTGCCCTGCTGCACCTGGCACGGGGTGCCTTGAATCTGGGTAGAAAACAATGAAATCTCAAGAATATCGGGGGACTCTGAAATGAAACATACTGCACAGAAATCTGTTTCAGTTACAGGTCATAGGTTCTCCAACAGGATAATGGCCCTAAACACACAAGTTAAAAGGGCCAATGAACAAGGAAGAACAAAACATTGGACTATTCTGAAGTGGCCTTCCATGAGCCCTGATCATCTATGGACACAGCTGAAACGTCTCGAGGAGGCACCCTTCAATCCTAAGACAGAGCAGTGTGCTCAGAGAGTGGGCTGTTATTGCTTCTAAAAGGTTGGGCAACATAATATAAGGTTTAGGGTCCTATCATCTTTGTTGATACTCATTTGTTTTATTAGTTAAAATATTCTGTTGAATTGAAAAGGAATGAATTAAATATGGAATAAACAAACAATGGATGGCAAAGTACTTTGGTCAATTTCAAGTCATTTCAGAGAAAATTGTGGGTTCTCCGTGGAAGGGTACCATAAAATTTGTTCATGTTTGTATAAATCGCACAACAAAATTTGATTCCTTTGACGTTACAAATAAGATTCAAACAATTTCTCAGGCAATAAAGCCAGAGACTTTTAATATATCATGATACCCTTTCCTCCACAGCTACCATGGCAACCTGCAAGCACCTCTTGAAAGCTAACTTTAGTATCCCCAAACAACCTTCTGCTTCAAAACTGCAACCATGGCAGCTGAAGTGAAGGTGGCAAGGTGAAAGCGAAAACAATAATAAAAGTAGCATGCAAAACTAACTGTTGTAAAAGGTTTTAGAAGCATAAATAAATGTGCCTATATCCTATCTTTCAAGATATGGTTAAATAAAAGTTGCAGTTTTGCTCACAAAACCAAACATTACACATAAGTTATCAAAATGGGACATTTTAAACAATGTATCTGACAGTTTTAAATGACTGGATATCAGACAACTTGGAAGAATGCTAATAAAACACAGTATTTGCCGATTTCAGAAATAGACATGCATACTGTCATAAAGCAGCAAAGCAGCCATGCTGACCGTACCCCCGCTTTTTCCTATTCTCTCTTATCTTCTCTATATTCTCTGCTTATCTCTCTCTTTCTCCCCCTCCCTGGGGGCTGTTCCCACCTTGTGTGGGTACTATGGAGCTGCATAGTTTGATATTGCTGGGTCATTGCCCTTCTTTGCCAAGAATACAATGTGATGCTATCATGTGCAGTTAATGTTACCTGAATATTGTACCCATATAGTACCTTGAGAAGGAAATGGCATTGGCCTCATTTTATATGCTCCATGACTTTTGTGTACTTTTTTATTGTTTCTTTACTGAAAACTCAAAAATTTTCCAACACTCTTGGCAGCCATCCAAGAGTGTTCCATTTCTACAGCACGTGCAAGCTATTAAAACAATGCAGAGCAGATTCATGATATTATGGACCCCAAGGTATCCATGCTAAAACAAACTAGTTTCTGCTGTCCTTTAACAATGGGATAATAGATAATATTTTGGTACTGTTAAAAGGGTATTATTCATACAGGGATTATGTATGCATGTGATGAACATAAGTGATGATTGATTTTCTATATATACACATTTGTTCAGTATGGGAATATACGCAATGAGATTAGAGTCTGTGGTTCAGGCTGTATTTGCAATACATGTTAGCCCTCGTTCACACCTGAACGTTTTGTAGCGCGTTCTACGCTCGACGAACGCTCTACAAAACGCTCAAAAATATAAATCCCATTGTATTCAATGGTCTCGTTCCCACCTTGGCGTATTTCCGCCTGTCCCTAACGCGCTACAAAACGGCCCACGCCTGAAAAGGTACATGTACTACTTTGGGCCGTTTTGTTGCACGTTTCCATTGGGATACAGCCAAGCAGCCTTGGGAAACACGCAACTTTTTTTACCGCGAATCGTGGTAAAAAACGCGCGACAGACGCGCATATGCAATACGCCTAGGTGTGAACGAGACCTTACTGATCAATCATGTCAGAAATGCTTAGAACCTCCCACATTCCTTATTAAGAAAGACTGTGAGACATTCTCTATCAAAGTTTATGAAGTGTTTACAAAGTATGTATTATATCTCTTTACTGTAAATGGCAAACAAATATTATTAATTAATAACTATTATTAATTATTAAATAATAATAATAAATAATATTAATAACTAAAAATATTGAAACAACTAAAGAAAGATGCACCCTTCATAGAAGTATTTGATATGGAATTAGACGGGAGAGGGAGACTGCAAGAATATACCAATTTCCTGAGAATGCGTAATGCCTGTATATTACTGTAACCAGCCATAACGAATGATAAGTGACTTTTAGTGTATCCTATTGCGTATAGACCATTGCATGTGCAAGGAAAGGATAGGTTGCGTGTGCATAACTGTAGCTGCTGTAGCATTTCATGCAATTTATAGAGAGTCTGCGTGCAAAGAACCAATATCACATCAGCAGGCAGCATTGTTACTTGCATTGCAGCAAATCTGCAAAGCGCTGCTTCGCCACTCTCCCAGCTCTACTTTACAACAGACTGCAAGAAACACATCTGGCGCATACTGTGTGTTGTATTGTGGTGCGTGATGTTGTAAATGAAAGTACATGCGCAATTTTTTTTGTCCCTTCCAATGAATTGGCTGCCTTAATGCAACACACTTTAATGTGTGGAACCATTTGCCTGTGTTTTATTTATATTACACACACATACATTTTTGTGAGGGGTTGTATTTCATAAACATGTAAACTTCAACAGTTTTAATAAAGTTGTTTAGATACAACAGTGCAGTCTGTTGAAAATACGTAATTTGTAGGCACTGTTCTCCTCCCCTTCTGGCCCCACGATGCAAAGATTTGAACACCTCAAACGTTAATTCTACAATTCAAGACATAAAAATAACACTTAAATTTGCTACAATAACGTAGACGTAAAAATAACTCCCTAACGCTTAAGTTGGAAGTCGTAACGAGCATGGTAAATAACGATTGGGACTTTTGTGAATACCATGTTTTTAAACGAAAAATAAGGAGGGGTAAATTAACAACTAGAAAGAGCAAATAAGTTTCTCTTTGCAAAATGTTCCCATTCTGTGAAAAGGAACCGTGGGTTGGAGTACCAGATAAAATAGGAAATCCAAGCTTTATTGAAAGTCGGTAAGGTGCAAACACAAACCTAAGATTCCCTGTTTTGGAAAATGGATCAATACATTCATCCCGAGATAATATTCGATGAGAGAATAGTTTCTTCTCTGGATCTAAAAACCCTACAAAGAAAAACAAGAAAAAAAGTTAGTTTCCATAGTCCAATGAATCACAAAGCGCTTATTTTTGGTCAATAAATGTGTGCTCGCATGACATTAGAAACATCAACAAACACATGTTCCCGGCCTACATAAAAATGTTAATTTAGGCAATAAAGATGACAGCATAATATAAGGAATAAACAGTCAATTATAATATCCAAAGTCTACCTATCATTAGAGGTCCACGGGTGTTTTCTTAGTCTTTTAAACTAACAATGTGTGGTACTCCATGGAGGAATATAGTTAAATGCCAACTTGCCTTTGGTGCCAGCCAGCACTGAGTGCAGCCCACCAAGATCAACCCCTTGCCTTTTTCCTCGATTCACTGATCTTTACGGGGAGCCCTATCCAGAGCTGCACAGCCTTGCTCCACAGAGTGTCCACCTTCATTTTGTGCACAAGTGCTGTGGCATTTCTATCGGGAAAGCCATGTCGGACTGCAAGAGGCCTCTATGAAGACTCAACTCGGCAACTTGGACTTTACAAAGGGCTGAGGACTCACACTACCTGCCCGTGTGTGATGGTGCACGAGTGGCACTGTCATGCGGGCGATAGGAGAATGAGTCAGTAGATGGAAGTAATGGGTATTTCTTTCCCAGCAACCAAAAGGAGAACAAAAAGGGAAGGCAAATATGCTGCTGGATGGGCCACCATTACATTGAACCAAATAGTTAGGTATATCACCAGCAAACCAAAGTAAAATAAAACATTTTAACGAGTGGTCATGACGAGATGTGGGTATATCAATAAAATGACCACTCGTTAAATTTTTTTTACTTTGGTGTGCTGGTGATATACTTAACTATTTGAATTTGAAGTGGTGCCATCCACGATCACTGCAGCACCCACTTTAAAAAAGGGACATACCAGTAAGGAGTACGGTGGAAACCTCTTGAAATTACATTGAACCAGTCGCTTTGCCCTTCATACTCGTTCATTTTAAACAAATAACTTTACTTTTTGTTCTGTGGGCAAATAATTAAAAACATTTCTTGTTCAGCTGACATAAAAAAAACCCAAAAAAACAAGCTTAAAGTCTAGGCTAAGGAATACATTTTTCATGAACAAAATGACATCCACAATAAGCTTTGAGAAGTGAAATGTGTAAAAGCTTCACCCATGATATATTCTAGGGTAGAGACTATCCCACTATCAGGGAATGCTTAAGTGACAGAAAACCTCAGACTTCTAAATCTGATGGGGAGTGTAAACTCGCCAATCTTTTACCATGCCAACAAGGGCTGGTGTTATGGTAGTCTGCAGCCACTCGCATATAGCAGTTCCAGAATACAAAGTGCACATAGTCTATATTTCCTTGGATATAAACTAATGTGTGGCCTTAGTAAAGCTGTTTAGTTATGTTAACTGAAATCAATAACCATCTGGTGTTCTTGTCCCAAAATATTTTTCCAGATTTCCACTGGCTTAGTCAAACTCACACCAGTTTCATTGTTAGTGTTGCGATTCTTACTTTTCAACACAGTACAGAAAGTAAAACCATTCTACACAATCAAAATGCATGGGTTTATAGGGTTTCATCAGCAAGTGACAGCACTTACTGCTGGTTTAACAACGGCCGAGTTCAGTACATTCAATGTTTGCTACAGACACAAAGCATGGTGGGTAGATGGAGATTTCAGAGTCTGCGCATTTTTCCATGTGAATTGTTGAAAACTAAAAATGGTACTACAATTAAATGAATAGAAAGCAAAACAGGAGTGATTTGAGTTTGGAGATATGTATGCATAATTTAACATTTTGCATAAATTAACTTATTTCTGCCCAGTTTATAAAAAGCAATACACATTATTAAATACCATGATTGACTTAATAACACAATTTGGCAATTCATAAAAAGGTTGTAGAACTTAAATGCACTTGTATAGCACTGAAACTTCTTTTGCGGCATTGTACTGCCCTCTTGTGCTCAAAAGCCATCCAAAAATGTTCCTTCCAAGAAAACCACAAATATCTGTCACTTGTGTAAATTATATTGTAGAACTCTGCGCTTAATGCACATGGGCATTTTGATTTGCAACCATTTGTGACCAAGTTTCTCTTCTTTTTTTTTGGTACATGGGAGTTAATTTTTTTCAGCATATAATTTATAACATATTTAGATTAGGCTGGTTCTGAACAGTGTTGTCCATGGAGCAGTAACAACAAGCTATGTTAAAGTAAACTCAGGAGCTGTAGCTTAAAAAATGCATTCAAGTACGGCAACTATTAACAAAAATATAGCTTGTGTATTATTCTGCTTTAGATCCTCAAATCATCTCTCAATTGGTGCCGACACTGTCCTTTCTTCTGGAGGGTGGCTACTTTTATTCCTCATGGTCCCAGTGTGTTGTACAGAGGCAACCGCTCCAAGCTCACTTCTGTGATGGACTACAAGCTCACGCTTAGTTTACCAATTTCTATTGAGATTGTAGTCTATCACAGGAGCGAGTTTGGAGTGGTGGCTACTTTACCACACACAGGGACTGTGGGGAAGAAAAGTAGCCACCCTCCAGAAGGAAGGACAGTGTCAGCACCAATTCAGAGATGACTTGAGGATCTGCAGCCAAGTGATACACAAATGAGATACATTATTTTAAATAGTTCAGGTACTTGAATGCATTTGAAAGATGTAACTTTTGAGTTCAGTGTTCCTTTAAGTCACTTGTTGAAAACAAACTTATTAGAAAAATATCCTTGGAGGGCATGCTGAACACTATAGGGGTTTGTTTTTAGGTCTTTCAACATCCTTATTACTTCCTCTTGCAAAGCAGTTGACTCTGCAGAATGTATTTAGCAATGCTAAAAGCGCAGTCAAGCAGAATGTTTAGCAATCCCAAGCATTTTGATGAGGACACACAGTTTCATCCACACAGCTACCTCAGCTGCATACAGACAGCCACACACACTACAATCTGATTGCACAATCTTCTTTAGATCTGCCAACAGCTATGAGTGCAAGGGCCTGCCTCATAGGATAGATTAGACAAATCCTCCTATTACATTTTGTTTTGGTAAATGTAAAGTTGATTATACAACCAGATTTTAATGTGTGTGGTGATCCTAAGACCTACAGTATCAACAGAGGACTGTTATATTTTTTAGTAACACAGGTACTCAAAAACCTTACAAATACAGGATTTTATGTCGAAACATTAACATACAACGTATATGAAGTCGTGTTCAGTTCTGCAACAAGGACATCAATGCTGACATAAATAATACTGATGACAGAACACAAGAACCTGGACTGGTATATTGTAAAATGTTGCCCAATTCCCAGTCATTTTTTGCAAATGTTGTAGTCAGTAGCTTGTGTTTCACTCGGCCGTAGATCCTCAAATCATCTCTGAATTCATGCAGACACTGTCCTTCCTTCTGGAGGGTGGCTACCTTGTTCACCATGGTGCCCGTGCGTGTTGTAAAGTAAAGTACACACCACTCCATGCTCGCTCCTGTGATAGTAAACTAAATATGGGATTGTAGTCTAATTTGTATTGAGATTGTAGTCCATCATGGGAGGGAGCTTGGAGTGGTGGCTTCTTTAGAACCCACACTAAGACCATGGGGAACACAAGTAGCCACCCTGCAGAAGGAAGGACAGTGCGAGCATGAATTTAGAGATTATTTGAGCATCTACAGCCAAATGATATACAAATAAAGATACATTTTTATTTATAGTTGGGGTACCTAAATGGATTTTTAACAAATTACTAACCTGCAATAGTATGTGCATAAAGCCTGCTGCCAAAGGTGAAAACATGCAACTCAAACAACTTGGCAATCTTCTCCAAAAACTCTTTACAATGAGGACGCAGGCGGGTGTGCAGCATTGGTTCTCCTCTACCTAACTGAAAATGAAAAATGCCCTGCAAAACAAAAAAAAAAAAAAAGAAAATTACGTAAAAACCATGATAAATTACAAACATAATACATTAAACTCAATACTTTTAGCAAAGCCATACTGTAAATCAGATTTGTTGCACGATGCCAGATTGTTGTAGAGCCTCCAAAGTCAAAATGGGTGCATTAAGCTCCCATTTTGAGGGTCTGTGGAGGCTCTCTGGCGGTGTGGAGGAAACGGAGCTTATAATGTTGACTGATGTCGAGATTTTCTTCTGGGTTCCTTCTGCAAAGAATAGTGTAACGGGAGGTTCACTGTGCCCATTGGAAGCAAACAGAGCTGCCAATCAACCTTTTTTACTTCCTAATTCGATGTGGACAGTTCCAAATGATTGACCACCTCAGCTCATGAAAAGCTTGCGACATGATATCTCTTATGGTATACAGTATGTCCAACCAAAACTTTTTTCCTTTGTTTTGCATAGAGTGGGAAAGAGTTGGTATCCATCAGATTTTTACTGCTATCCATAGCTCCGTTAGAGAGATTTATCCTCAATTCCTGTGCTGCTGAGGTTTACCAGGCAGGAAGTTAGGAAACAACGCAGACCGCAATAAACAATAAAATAAAAAAATTAATGTAAAATAGAGTCGGGGGAAGGCTAAAAGCCGTTAGGTGAAACTGCTGTCAGCAGGACAGGAAGGGTACATTAACCTCTTGCCGTCCGCCCGTAGTAAAAAAACGGACGGACGGCACTGCAGCAACTGCGGGATTACAAAGCCCATGGACAGCAGTAAACAGAACAGAAAGTCTAATCTTTCACATCCAAAACGAGAAAAAAAACTTTTGGTTTGACGTGCACTTTTAAGGCTACACTATATTAAAAATGTATATTTCACATATTTGTGTGTCTTCCCTTTTTTCCACAACCAGAAAGCTCCTGGTGTTCACCTATAATGATCCAGTAGGAGATTTCTACATACTGCTCTAGGCAATCTGAGCCATCAATTACCATGCCGCATGTAACAGGGTTGGGTATAGACATTTTTTTTTAAGGATGCCAGAGAAATTTGGATATTAAACTTCTCTCCTCCCACAAGATAAGCAATCTACTATATTCAGTGATCTCATAGATCTGAGTTCTGTTCTGTTCTGACTTGTTCTGTTAAGATTATACTAACTCCACAGTACTGACATATGGTTACAACAGGTCCTAGACTCTCCATATTATTGATGTAATAGATTTTCTGGTTTCCTTTTTACTTTCTTTGCCTTTTTGCATTCCCTCCCTCTATGTTTTTGTTGAATAATGGTATTACCACACCATCAAATGTTTTGCCCACAGTATGTTCTCTAACATTGTAACCTTACTTGCCAATATATTTATTAATGCTTTTTTTGTTTTCTTTTATGAACTGTGAATTTGTATGGTTTCCTTTACACAGATCACATATTTGCTAAAGCAGAAGCAAGTCAGGTAACCTCCCAGCACAGATACTAAATACAACTTCTGTAGCAAGACATTTGCCCTATACTTTAAAAGGTTCAGACATGTCAGTGACCCATTAGTATACATCTCAGCTATATTTATAAGTTCTGCAACATTGTTCACCTTAAGATGTATATTTTGAAGGACACACCTGAATTCAGACTAACACTATTTCTAACAATAAAAGGGGATGATGTTTTTTTATAACCACATAAGTCCTGTGTGCAGTACCTAGACCCAGTGGCTCCTGGGTGCCCCTGGAGACACAACAGATGGAGCCACCAGCTGTTGGTAACCCTGCAGTCCACCGCTAAGCCCAGGAGCTGAATCAACTTCTGGGCTTCCGATTCTTCTACAGATTGCTCCAAAGAAGTGTGCTTTAGAATCCAATGTAAACACCATGCTTCCACATTGGTGTTTACATTAGGAGTGTAGTGAGGTCACGGTACTTCCTGTCAGTAGCTGTTCCATAAAGTATATTATATATATATATAAAGGGCTGCAGAAATTAACGATTAATCCCTCGACTAATCGTTCATTATTTTGATCGATCAAAGTTCTTTGGATGCGTACTCACCTCTCCGCCGGCTTCCGGGTCTTCAGTCGGAGATCCGCTGACGTCACGGACATCGATGTCACCGGACTCCTCCCCCCTTCCCCAAGTGGCTAACGAAGGGAAGGGGAGGAGTCCAGTGATGTCGATGTTCGTGACGTCACTGGACTCCTCCCCCTTCCCTTCTTTACCCGATGGAGCTGCTTTGGACGGTGAGTACACATCCCGGCCGGGAGAGAAACACTTTTTACTGATATCTGATCTTCTTTCCTGATGTTTTCATCTGTACCTCCAGCGGTGCAGCGGCTCTCTGATACAGCACTGACTCCTCTCTGCTTGCAGGCACTTCCGAACCCACGGTGTCGGCACGCGTCCATAGACTTACCTTGCGTCTCTGCTCGTCTCCCGGCCGAGAATCCGAACTGCGAATGCGCCCGCCCCAAGATCCTTTGCGGCCGCACGAGCACTTCCGGATTCTCGGGGCGGGAGCGCGCAGCGATAACGAGGTATGTTTAAACCGCTGTTAAAGCGTTTTTTGTTTTAAAAAACTTTTTGCATATATCTACTGCTTGCCAGCAGTAGATATAGGCAAAAAAACGGAGCCTTTAAGATCTTAATTTTACGCAAAACCATTTTCCCCTTTATATGCATCACAATTCAGCATGGAAAGGGAAATAAAGCTTTTCTAAAGTAAAACGCATAGGTTCACTTGAGCTTTACCAGTCCACTATGTTACATAAAAGTCGCACCATACTAAATTTATGAGCGTGCTCAAATTACATAAACAGTGCGATGAGAAAAATTAAAGGATGATGCATTTTGTAAACTACAAAACGCTAAAAGAATGTGCGGACCCTGAGACAACAAAGGGAAAAAAGCCCTCCGTGACTTAAGGGAATTAAGGTAGAAAAAGGCTTGGGCAATCGAATGGTTAAAGATGCTTTTCTGATAAATACTCCGACAAATCCTTTAGTACCAACCTCAAACTGCACTAATATTCTGAAGGCATGTCAAAGTTTTTTGGTTTTTTTTTTGCAGAATGTTACACATTTGTTGCAACGCTGGGTACCTTGCTTGCTGACAAAGCACACAAATAATCCTTTCACAAAGTTTAATTCTATCAATGCTTTACTGGCAGGATAGATAATCAGCCACTGGAAACCTAGGTTGGCTTTCTAACAAGTATCTATAGACTGCACACATTTAAAAACCCCTATTGTCAGTGTCCATTCTAGGCCTGCAAAATGTTCTCTAGGTGTTAACTGCCATCTTTTTAATTTCGTTGATAAAAAAGCAGTACATCTCAGCTACATCCTGTCTCTGCACAATCTGCACATCGATGATATATTAAACACAGAGCTGTATTCATTTTTTCTACTTTAAGCCAGGGAATATGGGCAGGTAGACCTTAGATCCAAATGTTCATAGCCTTCTGCTGGGAATACAAGCCTAGCCAGAGTCTCTAGGGAAAGGCAGAAAAACCTGTTAAGTAGATTAGTCAAAATATACTGATGTACAGGTACAGTTACTGGTCCAATCCAGGTTGTATTTCTAAGCACTGGTTCTTACATTTCTACAGCTCACAACCAAGTTATTTTGCTTGTGTGGGCTCTCTCGTAATTATTCTAGCTAATAACCACAAATACCATTTCACAAAATGCATGTTCATCAGCATGCCACTGCTATAAGATTGCAAGTCCCATTATCTAATAACCTCTAGACTAAGTATGTAAAATGTCTTACCTTTCTAGACATATGTTGGCAATGCAGTTCTGTAGTATGGATTAATGTCTGGTCCAAGTCAACCATAAGAACAAGTTTTCTATTTCGATGTAATCTTTGCTGGTCTTCCCGTCCTAGCAGTTCTGCTTGCTACAGGGGGGGAGGGGGGGGATAAAGGATTAAAAAAAATGCCACAAAGAAAATGCAGAAAAATACTGAACTTCAAAGTGGTAAGCAGTCAAAAGGATGACCACCATTACTTTGTCAATTTTATTAATATTCTAATCTTGGAAGTTATGTGCTGTGCTTTCCCTTTAGAAAACCATAACTGTTCTGTGTACCCTGTGTGATTATTACAACCTGTATAGAATGTTCATTTGTAAAACAAATACAATACATGTCTCCCCTTAAAAAAATATACAATAAATACGCTGTTGAGTCTCATTTGAAACAAAGCTGTAGGCAGTAGTGCAGCTTACCTCTGTGCTGACCATCAGTTCTGGGACACTGTGAATCATGGAAACGGTAGCTGTTGACATTGGTACCTGCTGCTTTCCATTCTTGTTTTGCATCCTACATAAATGAAAGACTTAGTAGGGGACCAACAATCCCAAATACTGTGCATGCAAAAACGATAGGGAAAAAAAAACAACAAAAAAAAAACACCCCACAAAGCTATATAATGTCAGTATGAGGCACTGCAACAAACAAGACCTTTCTATTTTTCAGTACATTTGATTTGGACTTTGCTATAAACATTTTTTTCTAATATCATCTGGCACTATTGCAAAACCACTAAACATACTTCTAGAGATGCACCGAAATTTAGGCCGCAGAAACATATGATCTACATCACTTTCTGTTCATTCATGATTGTGGACATGGGAAACATACTATCTCCACAAGTTATGAATGAACAGGAACACTCAGTATAGAGGATTCCTGTTCATTTATAACAGGGGCTGCAGAAAAAGAGATTGAGGGCTCTGTGTCCCCAATCTCTTTCTATTTATAAAAAGGGAAATTTCAAGGATCGGTTTAGACCCCTAATATTTCACCGAATCCCTCAACAGTAAAGAAAAAAAAAATATGTAAAAAAGGTTAGAAAATAATTTTTTTATTATTGGTTTCGTTTCGGGTTTTGAAAATTTCATTTCGGTGCGTCTCTACTTACTACAAAATCAGTTGGAAAAAAAGTAATTTGCAGTAGCCCAATCCTTGTCCTGGCTATCAGGTGAAGTGCCTTTACTTAGTCACTTTACTTGCTGTAAAAAAAAAATCTTCTAATTTTCTACATTAGACAGTCCGCTGCAGGGGAGGACACCAAAATGCATGAAAAAACCCTCGGGGGCCAGCACCATTAAGTGGCAAAATCCCAAGGCAACCAGAAATCTCACACACTCACACTATTGTTTCTTGGTGGGCACATCTATCTATAAGACATGTAGGATATCCAGAAGAGGTACCTACTGATGGCCTCTAAAAAAAACCCTGTGACCCAAGCTGGCATCCACGTTACCCGTACCGGAATTCAGAGGTATAGACAAATTACCAACTTGGCATTTTACACATTTCAGCCACAGAAGCCTGGTGACAAAAGGCTCAAGAAGACTGCACTAGTTGATTGAGTAGTAATAGGAAAAAAGTAGATCCTTGCATCTCTGGGAATAGGCCTAAGAGATCATATGACAGATCGATCATACAAAAGGAAGGGGGCGACATTGCAAGCCCTTCATACTGATCTTCCACAACAAAAGTGAATCTGTCTTATGCCATGAGGGAAAGAATTGAGACAGATCCCAATAGCTTGGCCTACATACAAAGAACTTAGGGCAATCCCCTTGAGGTACACTGGAGTCAGACAAAGGGAAAAAATTTTTACAATGATCTTATTAAGATGAAGAGCAATATCACGTTGGGCAAATAAAGTTCACAGAACCACCTTGTAACACTGAGAATGCAGGCTTGAATGGCAAAAAAGCAGCAACTTCCAGACTCTTCTGGCTAATGATACAAAAAACACCGGAGTTTCCCAGCACATGTACCAGCTAGCCAGCAACAAAACAAACTGCCCTGTCTAATGTGCCTGTGTTCCGGGTGATCGCACTGCTGGTGGGGGGGCGGGATGCGGTGCCATTGACTTCAAATGCAGTGCCACGCCCCTGAACACAGGGAGCCGGCTTAGCTTGCGTTCCAGAAGCCGAACGCACTGGAACGTGGAGTTTGGGGTGTGAACCGGCCCTCAATCGTTAACTGAAACCGCTGCACTTCTCTGCGCCGCTCCAACGATGCAGCAGCCCTCATTGCTGATGCTTCAATCTTCTCCCAGTCTTTTCCTGGGTTTGACATCTTTGGCCTCCTCAAAAATGTTAAGTTATCTAGCACATGCAGTATTGCAGTCACGTGAATTAACTGGGGAAACTAAAAGATTCTGAGTTATCCAGCCCATTGGCAAGTCAGCAGTTGTTTGAAGATCAGTGGTGAAATAAAATGGCAGATTTGCAGGACAGACAGGACAGACTCTCCAAACACAGGAGCTAATGAAAAAAACTGGGCTTTTTAGAGGGTGCTGGCCCTGAGGTTACTTTATTTTATGCACCTAGCATCCTCCTCCTACAGATGGCAATATAAACCCACACAGCTGTGTCACTCAATGACAAAAGAGAAACATTTCAAAGTGGATTTTACATCAAATATACTTTAGAAAGCATAATAAAAGTCGTCGGCAATTGTACATTCAATGGCAATAGTATCAGGTGAATGGTTTATCACATTCCAAGCACTATATTTTTGGGAGGCAGGGGGCATGTCAATGTGTACGCATACCCAGAATGACAGGAAAAACAATTGACTTTGCACACAAAATGTACAAGTATTTCAAGTTGAGCAACCACTGGAGAAGTAGCAGGAGTTACTCTTACACAGTGGTCAGACAATGCAGGCATAGGATGCGCATGTCACAGATGTATTGCATACCTGCCATGTCAGTTAACAAAGCATACTGCCCATTACCTGGACACGGATGTAAGTACATAGGCAGATGCTGATGAAATGAGAATGAATTAAAAGCAACAAATAGTGCCAACACATTACAGCAGATGACACATAACACAGGCTTGCCACAGTTCATAGAACATCAATCGTTTCACTACGCATCTTTTATTGAATATTTTGAAGAACATACATACAAAACATACATACAATTAAAATAACAAAACAAGTCAGAACAAAGGAAAAAGAGTTTACTTACTGTGTCAAATCCTGACCACATTCTGCACACAGGCCTTTCATCACCACAGGATGGCTACAACCCGATAACCTCACCAAGACACCCCTACAACAGAAAAATAAGACTGCTTTAGTAGAAGCTGTACAACGTGGCACACAGTTACCTAAAACATTATATGTATTTGTAAGCATGACAGCCTATAGAGTGAACAGTTCATGGAGGAGGTTTAAACCACTGTGCTGCGTTTTTAAAGATCAGGATCTGGGTGGATCCAGACAGTACTGTCGGGATCTGTCCCAGCTGCGGCGCTCTCAGTATATCACAGGCAATAGCCTTGCAGGGTCCTATGGAGCCACCCTTGTGTGTGCTAGTGAGCTGTGTGCGTCTCCACAAACACACAGGCAAAGCAAGGCAATCCACTTCCCTGATTCCAGCTCCCTCCTTCCTTCTCCAAGCTAGTAGATGAACAAGGGCTGGAGACTGCCCTGCCCCTTGTGATCTTGTACTGGACAGGAAGTTTAGGGAAGATGAGGAGCTGAGAGAGTTGGAGCTGTTTGGAAACCTGGTGACTAAGTGTTTGGGCAAAAACTGAAAAAAATACTTTACTTGGCAATCCATATTTGTTTGATATGGACTATTGAAAAAAAAAGTTTGAGATTGTAATACTACTTTAAATAAAACTAGTGTAACACAAGTGTGAACAAGGCGCTGCAATTGCTGGCCTCCTGGGAATCCTGGCTGAACAAGCATGCTGCTAATTAAAGTCAAACTTCAATATAACAATACCTAATAAGGGTAAGTGACCGTTAGCATTGAGGCCAATGCATTAATAAGACAGCCAGGCTACTTTACCTTTCATGTATTTATTGCTTTTACACTTATTTCTAACTGAAAACAAAAACATGTCTTACAAGTCATCAGTGCTATTTAGCAAGCATAGCAATCAAATCCCTGTATATAACATGAGGTCGTCTCTTCTGCAGAACCACACCTCCCTCCCCAGGGTGGCAGCACATGGCAATGTTCAGCTGCTGGCACGCCCCTTGCCTGTCAGACACAAATTGTTTACCACAAATCCTCAAAAAGGTACTGAAGGAAAAACAAGAATGTCCCTTTATTCCTCCTCTCCAGAGACTACAAACACACAGATGGGAGCAGAAGCACAAAGCGTTTTGGATTTAGTGTCTCAATCTGCTGCACTCTTTATGCATTTAAAAAAATATTATCAAACAGCCGTCCTACTCTATTATAGATCCACATAAATGTCACTGCGTACATTTATCATACATGCTTCAGGGCTTGTTCACACCATATAAAGTGCGTTCCAGCACAATTCGATGCTGGACCGCACTGTATCGCATCGTGGTCAGCTCCCTGCGTTCTGGGGCAGAAGAGAGCGTGGCAGTGTATTGAAGTCAATGGCACTGCAGACAAGCCTTTAATCGCACTGGACCGGAATGCCGGCATTGATGTGCAACGCGTGCTGGAGCGGGCGATCGCACTGCAGACGGGGGGCGCCCCCTCCTGCCCCAGCAGCGCATCGTGCTGGACCGCACTGTATATGGTGTGAACCGGCCCTTGGCTGCAATCATTTTATTAAATAAACAATTTATATTTTACATAAAACATATAGCCAATGACCACTTAAACAACCAAACTGCTGGAAGAGAGGAGGAAAGCAGTTGAGAAGAACAATGCTTTATTCACACTTGACACGTGCGTTTTTGTGCTCTACATGCAGAGAAAAATCTGTCAGGCTAGATGCTGTGTTTATGCTTCTAGATGTGTTAAATGATGCATCTGGTACCAAACCCTAGCATCAAATAGCATATACATGCGCTTACTGGTTAAAATCGATTCCTGGACACACCTGACTTCTATTTTATCTGAACGCAGCTAAACTGACTGACAGCATCTAGACGCAAGTGTGGTTAAATTCATTGGAAATCATTAGAAGCATATAAGTGCATTTAGAAAACCATTTTACATGCATATAAACGCATCTAACCGCACCTAGTGTGAATGTAGTTTTATTGTGTTAAAAGTGCATTTATTTTTTAAAACAAATCTCTGGGCTAGAGAAAAACCTACCCTCACCATGGGTGCCCCTCTGCACATCAAGGGTTAAATGCTTGTTTTGTTTAGGGGGAATAAGATGATGTGCATGGTCATATGTCCTAGTCACATGTTCCAGAAAGTAAAGGGAGATATAGTAATCTGCCCTTAGTAAAAACAGACACTGAAAAGAATGGGGAGGAAAAGAAAAGGAATGCAAAAGGGACACCAAACACGCCTCCCACCCACAGCGAGATCGCCCGCACGGTACCCCAATGCATTTGTGTATTTCATTTTAAAATAAGGATGGTATTTTATTTTTTCAATTAATCGGATAAAAAAAAAAATTAACGGCTAATTAATCGATTATGAAAATCATCATCAATAACCGTCCTAAACGCAGTGCATCGCTATTTATGATTGGGAGCCCGTGGGATGGGCTCCCAATTACGTGACAGCCAATCACAGTGATCAAACCTGCCTGCTGTGCCCCTTGTGTTCAGAACCCCTAAAAGGCTAGCGGCAATGGGTTAAAGAAACGTGCCAAAAATAGGTGGCCTGTCATTGCTTATTTGCATTTTAAAATGTAAGTTACCTCCCCGTCAGCCTTCAGCTGTGGCTCTAAACATTTTTGAGCTCCTGACTTGGAACAAGTATGCTGCAAGTAAAGTCAGAATTTCTAATCTGCTTACTGGTTATGAAAAACAGAAAAAAAGAGCCTCAAACAATCAGTGTGAAGCACAGAACAACCTTCTACGGCTGGGCACAAACCTTTCAACCATCGCAAGACTTTTGTCTTGCGATGGGTGTAAGGCACTTAAAAAAAACGTACAATCTGCCCTTCTTCGGGACGCAGAAGCTATCTGGCGACAGGTAAGTCGCCAGGATCGCTTCTGTTGTAAAGCCGACAGTCGGCTCTACAAGTTTAAACAGAGTCCCGGCGGCAAAAGTCACCGGGAGTCTGTTTAAACAGCCCCGATGCTGGCGACGTACATTGTACGTCGTCAGCCACGAAGGGGTTAAAGTCGTGCGACCTTACAGTAGTAGAGGTCGCACGGCTTCCACACACCTTACGATAATCGTACGATCGCGGGATTTCCCGCGATTATCGTAAGGTGTGTGGGGACCTTTAGGGTGTGTGGGGACCTTTAGAACAGAAAGTATCTGCATTTGCATGACAAATCCAAAATTGTGCCAATTACACAACTATTAGCCCACAGCAAAGATTCAGCCTAATTTCAGTTATTTGTCCAAACGTCATCCAGCTGTTTCCAGCATGTTGGCCATCATTGGTGCAGTGTATGGAAACCACGGCTTCTAAAGAGCAGGACTGGGGGAGCAAAGAGAAAACCAGTGGTACTGGATGCACAGTTTGTTTAGCAGTCATTTATTTGCTTGGTTCTGCCCACTTTCCTAAAATGAAGAATAAACCCTTTGGTTTTTTTTTGTTTTATTAGTCCGACTGTACAGCAGAGGCCAATGCGTCGCACAACACACATTCTGCACATTGTTGTGCGTTGCTCTGCATAACAAAACCCACTCAGATTCAAGTCCTGTTAATTGGTCTGTTTGGTGCATGATTTGAATGAGCTGCCTAAAGGGTATTTGCACGTTTGCAGCCAAATTAGGATAACACTTTACTTGTGTTACATGTTCCCAGTCACATAGCATAACAAACAAACAAACATTTCAAAAAAGTGAAACTTACATTTTTCCTATATTTCAGGAAACTCCAGGACTGAAAAATCCTGCTTAGTTCTCACCATTTTGGAGGGGGAAGTTTTGTTTCAAATGATTAACCCCGTCTGTACTGTGTTGGCAGATTGTATTATCACCTGTGAACTAGATGAGCAGGGATGTCTGTCCTAACCAAGGGTTAAAGTCCTGAACACATTAAAAGGGAATGTATCAAAACTGGAGCAGACAAAATCTGGAGCAGATTTGAACAGCAGCCAATCAGCTTCTCTCTCTCATTTTCAAATCTTAACGGGAGCAAACTGAAGACAGAAGCCGATTGGTTAATTTGGAGCAACTGCTCCAAATTCTGTTTGCGCCAGTTTTGATAAATTCCCCCATTGTATGTCAATTGACTTTTGAAAAACTGTCCCTCAGGGCTTGTTCACACCAATTGCGGTGCGTTCCAGAGCGTTAGCGGTTCTACGTCCCCGCCCGTAGTGCGATAGGATGTATGGCAAAACATTGCTTGCGTTCCATTCCACTGCAAACGCAAAAAAAATGCTGCTTGCTCTATTTTTTGTGTTTGCAGTGGAACGGAACGCAGGCAATGTTTTGCCACGCGTCCGATCGCACTGTGGGCGGCGGGGGGCATGGAAGGGGCGCCATTGAATTCAATGCACCACCGCGCCCCCTCCTGCCCCAGAACGCAGGGTGAAGTTTTTGGAGCGATTGGGTTGTGTTTCAGCAGATACTGCCCTGGAACGCACCGCAATTGGTGTGAACAAGCCCTCAGTAAGTCCCTTAATCAGCTCGCAGACATCTTTTCTAACCACTAGAGGCTGCCTGTAGAGTCCCATGTATAATCCTTCTCCAAATAAACAAAAAAAGGTATTTTTAGGTATGTTGTGTACGGGAAAAACACAAACATAGATGGGGGGTTTCTAAAAGCTGGCTGCAAAAGTGGCAATAACCTTTAACACAATGTGTGGAAAATGACCCTTACTACCCAATGGTACACAATTGATAACAGAAAATCTGACAGGGGGTATAACCATTCGCTACTGTATCAAAAAAAAGTCTGGGGTTTAGCTATCCACTACTACTGTACACCACCCATGTTAAGTTCATCTAAAACCCAACTACAGGCTGTAAAACACAACAAAGAAAAAAAAAATGATATTCCCTCTTACACACACCTCCCTTCCTGTGTACACTTCCTGCACGCACTCTCAGTTTAACTCAACTAAACACATCCAGTTGCATCGAAACAGGTGTTCAACATCTTAGTTTGTTTTCTACCTAAAGCAGCTGTAGCACGAGCAGAAAAGCCTGTGCCCAGCCTGCATGCTGCAGATTGGGACCCTTGCTCTCTG